AACAAAGATGGGGGCCCTGTGAAGCAGCTGCCCGCGTTTCCAAAGCACGTATGGTGATGTGGAAGGTGCGGAAGTACGTCGGTGAAATATAATGTGAAATATAATGTGGTAGGACTGGAGAGGATAGTGTAGCAGTATAATGTATTGTGAGTGTAGCTGAAGCTTTCATCGTGGGCGCGTCTCGTTGCAAGCTAAGCAACGCGTATACATGACGTGTAGCATCAGTCCTCAGTTCACTTCTTGTAACGAACATCAGCATAGGTCCAAGCCCTCTCGCTTGGAGGGATATATGCAAACAAACATCCTGATAGGTAAACTCGCATGCTACCGAGCATTCAACCGAGCACATGCATGCTTAGTTGAATGGTGAGATGCGACCCCCCTTCATTTCGTGCTCGGCAAGCCTGCCACCGCGTACCGGATATGTTGGCGATGTTACAGAGACGCTGCACCTTGGTTTCTGTGCGCAATGCATACGATGCTCGACCCCGCCGACCAAAACTACACGTGCCCAACTGAAGACACACCGGTGGTTGTGCAGCAGATCTTGAGGCTTTGTTGGCTGAAATCCATCCTGAGAGCTGCACCTCGGTACCTGTGCGCAATGCGTACGCTGCTCGCCCGCGCCGACCAAAACTACATGTTCCCATCTGAAGACAATGCCTGTGGTTCTTAAACAGAATTTGAGCTTGCTGATGGCTCAAGTCCTTCCGTAGTAGCTGCAACACGGCTAACGCAGGCACGGCCGAATGCGCTGCGAAAAGCTGTTCCAAGCCCTCAGCGGCATCCATTTTACTTGCAAGGTTCTGAACGACTTTCGCGATTCTTCTCTTTACCTAATTCTGCGTTGTTATTATTTATTTCGTAAGAGTGTAACTTGAGTTTAGTCGGAACAATGTGCATTATGCGCTGCGCTACCGAAAGCAGGCGCCTTATGGCTGATTCTTAGCCGACCGCTTCATCTTCCGCGGCAGTTTCACGAGCCCAGAGTGCAAGCTACGCCGTGGCT